CCACATTTGCATACGTTTTCCCATTAAGATAGTGTTGCAGTGAATGAAAAAGATGGTACTCGGATGGTGCCATATATGGAGAATATTGTGGGTAGGGGAGAACTTCCTACTCCAACTCCATAATCTTGTGTTGCGTCAAATGTGTCACATGTAGACATGCAATGTCATGGAGAAGAACACCTCTCCATTTGACGAGTAAAGGTCATTTCTGATGAAGGACTTGATTTAAATGTACCAGTTGCTGACTATAGATCTCTGTATTTACAAGTTTTAAATGAATTACTCCTCTGATGTCCCATCAAATGCAAAGCATCGCTTTCTGCGGATGGAGTCCAGGTTTTGGGGTCGGAAGTGGTTCTTGTCTAGGACTGAACCATTGTTTTTGGTGTTTAATATTTGCAAAAAGAATCCATTTTTCATCACCAGTGACAATTCTGTCCAAAAATGGTTCACATGCCGGAAGAGACAAAGCAATGTTTACACATTAGAAATGATGATCATCGGAGAGTTTGTGAGGCACCCAAGTACCTTCTTTATGGAGTTTTCCCATATTCTTAGATTTTTATGTATTTTTTCATGAGAGACATGCAATTTCAGGGCCATTTTAGGAGTATGTTGCCTTGGGTTAGACTCAACAAGCGTCTTCAGAGCATCAATATCAATTCCAACATGTTAGCCCTTGCCAGCACAGTTTTTAAGGCTAAAGTCACCTGAACAAAATTTGCTGAACCATTGTTGCCATTTATGAATGTTCAAAACATTTCCATAAACTTTTTTGATATTCTTTTTGGCTATAGAGGCGTTGTTTCCTTTTTTGTATACAAAAAGCATTACATGCCAAATGCGTGTCTTGTCATGTGCCATCACTATAAGGGATTAGATTATACCAAACTTTACACATTATATAGGCTACACTAATGTGACATTTAGGCAGTTCGTTTAACTATTATACGTGATGTACGTTTTTTGTGGTGGTGAATGAAAGTGTTCCAAAATGCAACATTAATTTCTTTATGACCTAATACATCATATCTCGGTTTCTTCTTTGTCGGGTTTTTGTCTTCCACCAGTAGCCATTCTTCAGACTTTGGTATGACTCTGACTGGTAAGTTTCTATTCATACTTTCCTTTTTTTCAGGGGCCTTTTCTTCATTCCTCATTATTTGGATTCTGCTCTGTAGTGAGAGGTGCTTGACCAGGTATTCTTTTTAACTTGAAATCTGCACTATACAGCCATGTTGACTTGCACTTTATATTCCATGGCTTTGCAATGCTCACCGTTGAGATGGGGTGTTCCACAAGATCGCTTGTAGGGAATAACCTCGTGATATTTTGCTTAATAAACATGCACGTCCTGGACTGTACCACCTATGAATTGCATGGGTAAAGCAGAAAGGGATAGCTGCCCATCTCTGCCATACCTGTAGTGAATAGCTCAGTATGGTCTGGTTTTCAAAATAGGGTTTTGTGCTCACCCATTGCATTGTCTCAGGTAATGACATTCCTCCAGACTCTTCACCACCTTTTTTACCCTACTTTCTTCTAGTGGAGTATGGGAGTCCTTACCACTTTCCAGTTCCAAGCCGCTGGGGTGGTCAACTGTGGAGGCACCCTCCTGAATGGGTTCCACACAAAAATGGCTATAAGCATTCAGTGCAGAATAGGGCTGTGGTGTTCTGCATGTGTTGATGATGTACTGTCCTCCTCTCTGCAATATACAATTACGAAGGAGTGATACATCAAAATACAGTTTACCTTTTTGATTTGGAGCCCTTATCCTACCCTGTGTGGATGTCAGTACCCCACGGCTAGGTTTTGGATTTTGAGTAGAACCAATCAACATAAGACAGCACACGTTTTGGGTTGTCTATCTTCCTTCCTCGATTTTTGTCCTTCTGTGTTGTGGGTCACAGAAGTTGTACATGGGATTGTTACAGTTCTGTCCTTTGGCTCTTTCTCATCTTATCTTAATACGGGGATGTTATTGCCTTTTAGATGGTTCCGGTAAATTTCCTGGTTAGGGAAGTCGATTGCATGCGACAGACATCCTTTTGATAATGGATGTCGGGTCCCTGGATTGATAGCTCAGTGCTAATAGTTGTGTAATACCTGGGAAACTGCATGACACTCAATCCCACAGTTTTTTCGTTTGTGGTGAAGACAGTATAATCTTCATTCTACCCCGGCATGGATGTCGGTTCCCAGTGGCATGGGTTTTGGATGTAGTTGACTTACCAAGTAAAATTCATTGCACCTTACCACTCTACATCTGAGAGTACATCCATTGTTTTACCCACTTTTCTATTTGTGTGTTTGAGTTATATTTATTTTATATGGTTAGGAACATGATCTTGACACAGTTCTCTCCTACTTAAATGTGCTCCTCTCCTTTTCTGCCCTTATCTTCTCCACATTTCACTGAGGGGAGAAGATTATACCTGGTTCAGAAGTGGTGCAGTTCCTCTCATCAGATCTGACTCTCTCATTTCCAGGGGTATCCTTCAGATGCTTTCGGTGGGTACTTCTGTCATTCCCTTGCACTGGTCCCTCCACCTAATCAATGTGGGATGATAGCTAATTTTGTGAGAGGAGGTAAGTACCGTATCGGAAGTTATAATTTACCTGTACTGAAAACGTATTTCCAATAGGTACTCTGCTCACACTTCCCACACTTCGAAGTAATAGTTTGGTAGAAGAGTATAGAGGGAGTCACATGTGTCATGTGAGCATGTCATGCTCCTATTGGTGGAGAAGTGACTTGTGATGATTTGCATGAGAGACACGTTGGAATCTTTCAATTCCAATAAGGGGAGCAGAAGGCTTGTGGCATGCATAAAGAAAAAGTTTGCATATAGAGGGCAGCACTGAACGAGAAGAGCTAATTTTGTAAGAGGAGGTAATTACCTATCAAAATACATTTTCTGTACAGGAAAATTATCACTTTCATGTATAAATAATTTGTATTTGCATAAAATGGTGTTATATTTGGTTTACAAAAAATCTCATATTTTCAGTATACATTTCTTTGTATATCATTACAGTATCGTTGGGACCCAATTTCTTAATTTCAAAAGTGGATATCACTGTAATTATAGAACATTTAAAAAACAACTTGATCAAGTACTATAAAACTTTGAAACGTACAACTCTTTCAAAAAGAAAATACAAGAAGTTATATATAAATCACCTGTAGGCTAGGAACTAGACGAATACACCTTTCCCAGATGGACTGTCGATCATGTGAAGATAGTTCAGTTTTCCAATTGCCCAGCTCTTTGGTGCCTCCTAGTGTTACGTAATCAACCCTAAATACATATATATATATATACATATATGTCTGTATTTATAAAGTAGAAGCATAAACATTTTTTCTTCTAATTTTGGAAGAAAGCTTTGTAACTAACTTTGACATTTATTGCATGGTCTAGTCATTAAAATAAAAATCTGTACTTTTAAATGTTCAAAGAATTACACTGCATATTCTATTAAAACATTATTCAATTAACTTAAAAATATGTGTCTATCAAAATGATCAATTAGTTCTATTGTGCTATACTTTTTTTTTTCTTACCAATTAAGTTCATTAAGTACTTCATTAGTTGCTGCAATGATGTTTGTAAAGAAATTGTAAAGCATAATCCAGCAATATTCTACACAGGGATGTCATGAAAAATGTTCATTAAAATATAATTGGTAGCATCATAAAGAGAAAACCTTGTTAAACAGTTAAATGTCTATATACTTTAAATACTAACTGTCCTGAATCTTAAGAGATAAATTAGTGGAGCATTATAATGTGGCAGTCAATTGCACTATTCATTGGTAAAGAACATCCCAAGAGTTGGCAGAGCATGATGTTGACTAGCTGCCTTTTCCTCTAGTCTATCCCTTCAAGCTTTGCATGTAATTCAACGAAGAAAGCAAACATATATGTCTATTTAAAGTTTCTTCATTATACTAGTTCTAAAAAGATTTAACACTTACCCTGGAATAATGTAAGTGTCATCTGCATAGTAAAAATGTTTGATCCATGGAGCTGAAACCTTTAAATATATATATATATATATAATTAATTAAATATTAATCTTACTAAAAAAACGTTAATAGAATTTTATAAACATAGTTAATTGTATTGATGTTTTTAATTTTTGGTTTTGACTTACTTGGATATATTTCATTGCTGATTTCTTTCTTTTGTAGATTCAAGTTTCCAAAAAATAAATCTATAATTCCATTATTAATTATGTATATAAAGTTATAACTGCTTATTTTTAACCAAAATTATTAAAAACATTATTTAAAATTTCTTTAAATAATACTTGTGAAATTTTTTGAAGAATGCAAAAAGAATAATATAATACCACATTTTCTTGTGTTTGAATTGTGTTATAATCAGAGAGTATGCAATATTTAAAAAAAATTATTAAAGCTCAGAGAAATTCCTTGAAGGTGATATAGTTAAAAATGCCTTTGGCTTCATAAAATAAAACAACAATTAAAATGACTTTTTCTAATTTGGCTACACAGATTTCTAATCTGCATTAGTTACATAAAAAAAATGACTTGAACCTGCAAAAACAAAATTTTGACTAAGTGCAATCTCTCACAATTTGAAAAACCTTCACAATCTTAAACATTCTCAATGTAAATTATCCTTTTTTTTTTGAAAAGTCCACAGTTGGTCACACAAAACCTGATTATATATCACTTAAAAAATATTTGTTAACTACAATTTATGGATTTACTTCTTTTAAATTGCTACAACAATTATAATATTTCTCAGTTTGGTCAACTTAAAACATTTCTGTACACTTAATCAACTTCCAATTACTTTAAATAATGAAAAATTAGGCTCTAAAAACTTTGGTGCTAATAATCAGATGAAAAATAAGATAAGGATAATGGCATAGTCATTTTTAATCATTTTACTTAGATCATTAGAATTAATTAAATGTTTGTTGATACTAAGTTGAAGTCAAAGTCAACTATATCTAGAGAAAGAAAATAACAAGTCAATAATTACATTTAGTGAAAAATGACATTATAGCAATCAGTGTCATAGAATTAAGTCCATTGATTCACAGTGAGATACTTGTAACTTGTGTAAAGTACATAAATTTGATTGTTTTGTGAGATGAATTGTTTCTAACTATGTAATGTTTAATGACAAATGAGCAGATTTTTGATACCTTGGTTTTATTGTTAATGTAGCTTACTATAAGTATGGAATAAAACATAGTTTTGAATTTCCTTCCTATGTTAAATGGCTAGAGTTTGTAAGTTTAGATATTGTTACAATGCATACAAACATTTTCTTTACATAACAAAGTTGGTTTAACACATAAAATCTTTGAGAAGAAACAGTTGGAAGTATATGTATACTTGAAAAAATAACTTAATTTTACCAAAACACAGCCAAATTACATGCCTAATGTACATTTGTAAAATCTAACTGATGAAATAATGATAAGCTCTAAATTATTCTTTGTCTAAAAAATCAGTTATTGTATGCACACAACAATAAATTATTCAAAGAATATCCTCGTGAACTTCACCTTTAATGTAAAAGAGACATATTTTTGATACTCTTGTAGTATTTAAGAAACAAGATTATGTTGAGAAACATTTGTACATATGACAAGGAAAATGCTATGAAAACACTAATAATATTATAAGGGACATAAGAAAGGAAAAAACTTATAGTTAATTTGGTTAATTAGTCATATTTTTTCCATGATGATTTGATTAGTCAAGTCAACAAGTGACTAAAGCTAATGAATAGAAGAATACAGGAGTTGAGTACTTTATATTAAGATGATTTTGGAGCCTCAACATGTTGTTAGGACCCATATTGCCTTCTCTGTTTATGCTCTATCCAAAATTTCCCAACAGAATAGTTTCCATCGTAAATGATTCTACTGTAAGGCTGTCATGTCTAAAGCACATCCCTGCTACTTTCCACAGTTTATGTAGTTTAGAAGAGCAACATTTTCCCAGCATCTGTTTCAACAGTTTGATTGCACAGAAATCAATAGGTGCTATATCCAGCAACTTGGCCAGTATGTCTCTGTATGGAATAGCAGGAATACCTGTTTCATTATCCAGCAATTGTTGAACAGATATGTTGTAGAAGTAAATTATGTACACATGACGTGTACCACTTTTCTTGATTATGTTCAGTGCTGTTTCATAAGACATATGGACAGCTTTTGCCTTTCACCTTTGTGTTTATGGATTCTCACTTGTTACGAGACACTAAACTTTGCTTACCATGGCTAGGGTATCACTTGTTTCAGGTTTTTTCTAAATGATGTTGGTTTCCCAATCTGACCCATATTCCTATACTTCCAATGTCACTAAGTACAAGGGGTATCATTGTCTTGTTAATTCTAACTCCCCAATCTGAAAACATCTTTGTGAACCGAGCATATGAATATTTTGTCAGAAAGTGCTTTACGATCAATTTTCGGTGGCATAACACTACCTATGAAGTGCCAAACACATACCATTCCACCACAAATTTATGTCAACAGTGATTGTCATGCTGATTTGCACATTTAAATTTATTTTTTAATATACTCAGTCTTCCATACTTCTATGATACTAAAATCCATGAAATGCTAAACAAAATAACTATGCTGAAATTGAAAGGTTTGTTATTCCTAAGAAACTGTATGTAAGACAACAGATGCTATATGTTAAGAGTTTATTCGTAAATTCAAATTAGATGCATATTTAAACTGATTTTTAGAATGAGAAAGTTACTTTAATTTAAGGATATCATTTCCAACAATAAACAGTCATTCATCGTTTATATATTTGTGTCCTTCCTAAGTGAAGTAAAATGTGGGTTCTATCACTGGCTGGTTATCTACCTAAATGAAGAAATATACTCCAATAAAACTGGTAATGCATCCAGTAACTCAAAACCTATTAACAAAATGTATTGTTGTTATTAAATTACAGATGACAATTTCATCACACTCAGTGAAGCCAAAGAAGAAAAGAAATTAACAATTCATGAAAGTTTAGCTACTTCTAATCTGAAGTTGGTTTTAAAACAAAATAATTTATAATTCTTTTCTCCTCAGACTATGAGATCATTCATTTCTTACATTTACAAATAACTTTCATCAAAGTATAAAAGAAAAACACTCTAATTCTCAGCTTCCCTACAAAAGTTATAAACATTAAAACCTTTCTGAGAACAACATCAACTCTTTTCATAATGAAACTTATTAAATGTTTTTTGGTATAATTGTTTCTATACTCTTCTCTTTCAGGAAGAACTACGTTTTTATTCAATTTCATCATGCATACAAAATACCAGTTCATTCAGTTACCTTTCATTTTGAATTGCAGTCAATAAAATAATATATTACAAAAAAAAGCAACCAAATCAGGGCACTTCTGATGTATATGTTTTTCATACATGGGTAATAAATATGTAATTACTTTATCTTACATTGTAGCTACTGTTGTAAGTGCTCCTTTGATGAATGCAATTTCTTTAGGAATTCTTTTGTTAATCAATAATATTTCTTGAAATTCTGTGCAGCCATCTCTTGTTTCCAATCTGAATAAAAGTACTGCATTGATAGTGTCAATGCTCATGCTATTGTTTTCATCATTCCTTGCACTACTGATGATATTGAATACACATTATGTTGGTGAATTTTCACTGGAACACAAAATGCAAGTTTAATCACCACTTTGATATTCTCAAAGGGAATTATTTCAAACTCAAGGTCTTGAAAAGCTCTGTCCATCGTTCACATGAAAGTATGGATTTATCTCTAATGGTTTTTTTCTGCTAATTCAAAATCATTACAAAACTTCAAGATGTTTGACTAAATCTTCACATAAAGCAGAAAAAAAATTCTCAGTCAGAGCATAAAACTAGCTAAAGTTTTTTTCCTTTAAAAGGCTGTAACTTTCCTGTAACATCTTGGTGTACTAAAGCAATTTTCAGTGTTGATGCACTTTGCTTTTCCTTTTCCAAAACTGACTTGTTGGATAGGAGCAGCTAGTTTACTGCAAACTTCAATCAGGGAAGAGAAGGGGGGGGGGGTCTTCAAATAACCTTTTCAATGAAGCAAAATATTTATGTTGCAAAAATAAAGATTTGAGGCCAAGAAAAATACTGATTATTTTTTTAATGGTAGGAAATAGGGCTAACAAACTGGTACTGTATCCCTGGTGTTTGATATTTGACTCAAAGTTGTAAAATTTCTTGAGTTCTGCCAGGCATACTGTGTAAATGTGAAAATACTTGTAAATTTTTACAATCATTATCTCAATATTGACTGGTAACTGGTTCACTGCTGCCTATCCAACATTACTTACAATTGTGCAGCACAACCTTTACATATCATATCACATTACATTGTAGCCCAGCTTAGTTCTCACAATCCTAAGCACAATGCTTTGCCCATGTACAGGTGGACCACCCATCATACTGTTGGTAATGTCAGATTCAAAAGCATCAACTATGTCTAACAGATTATGTTTGTTCACATCTTTCATCACATCATGAGACACATTTTAGAAATAAAGTGAAAAACTATTACAAAACAGGTTTTTATATTGTCATGTCTTCTTCACTCCAACTTTTGTTTATGAAAACACACACACAGCTTATTTTATAAAGGAAGTTCTATGTTATATATATATATATATAGTGCCTTTCCCAAAGCATAAAGAACAATTTGATTTATCAGTTTGTTTCTTTAAGTAACAAACAGCACAATGGATTACCTCTACTGTGTCGAATACAAGGATCAAATCCTTAAAGTTAGCCTTATAAGCCCTTGAGCTTACCACTGAACCACAGATGAGCAATTTATCAGTAAGTTAAAGAAGTTAACAGCCCTACTGTCAAACAAGCTTATATATCTTTAAGATGTCGATTGATCCTTGATCTCCTAATTTTGATTTATCACACAAACAGTACTAAAATGAAATTAACTAAATTTTTGAAAGGAAAGTAGTTACACATAAAAGTAAAACTAATTTTTTGAAATCACAGGTAAAATAAAGAAAGTCCTGTAATGTGAAGGGTTAAATTTTTAATCATAATGATAACTACAAAAATTAACAAACCAATGACAGCCCAGTCATTTCTCATAAACATTTAGTAGGCAGTTATTTACAAGTCCGTCTCCTCTTTAATAATCTACAAATTAATACTTGTGGAGCAAATAACATCCATTACACAAAATAAAGTGCAATATCACTTATACTTTTAGTAATTAATTTCAAATAGGAATTATATTCTACATTCAATAAGACCAAATAATTGAATTTCAACAAATTTTATTAAACTTAAAATTATGTTGAGCAGAAATTAATTCTAAAATAATACAGGAGGTGCTTTTCCCTGTATACCACAAGGAAAATGAAATAATTATCAATTATTTCTGTCTGCTCTTGTGTCTACCAAACCCTGAACATTTTATATCATTCCTTCAACTACTAACCAGTGGTACAATTCTTCAGAGACATTTACATACTTTGATTACTTGTCCTCGCACGGGGATCAAAAACTTGTCCCCAAACAAGGTTTTGGATCCTAGCCCTGTACAGTTGACGACAACATCAAACTGTCCAGCAACCTATAAAAAATAAATTTATTTAGTCAGTTACAACAATATTTAATATTGATACCACAAATATAGTAATACTCTCAATTATAAACTACTGCTATAAAAAGCAAATTTAGTATATAAGTCAATATGCCAGTAATGATAGTCAGAGTCAATGTTTATAATCCAGCACACTTTTAATCTAAAGCATATTTATGCACTTAAAAATATCTCCAAGTTACTGCCATCCCCATGATTTGATGTAGGTTGATACCCCACTCTTCAGATGGACTGATTTATAATACTCCCACCTTTTGTTTCACATTAGTTGGCAAGAACAGCAATTTTTAAGAAAGAAAATATATCAAAACAATGATATTGTCAGTTTTATGGGGCCAAATTCTTGATAGTAGGTGTCTGACTTGTTGGCGATAAATGTCAACATTAAACAAACAGCACACAGTCCATTTGTTTTAAAATAATATAATCAAAACAAGTCAAAGATATATACAAAAAATTAACTATTAGTTATCACAATTTTGTCCAGAGCTTTAAATAATTGTCTCCTTTTCTTCAAATCCACACAGATGGATTCAATTACTTTAGAACACCCTTTGACAAATTACTCTTCTTTATCTTTGTAGTTACAATACCACTGTGAAACTCACTTTAGATATTGCCTGTTACAGCTAAACTAACAATCATGCAGTTTAACTTCATTTTCACTAACTTGCTTTAACTAACTTCTTTGCACTCTGTATCTGCACATATTTATAACATATGACAGAAAAGTCTAGAAATATCTAGCCCTCTAGTGACAATAATGTTCACATAACAAGAAAACTTAGAAGCTTTGAGTAATATGATGTCAACAGTATTATAAATGCCTAATACAACAATTAAACTGCATACAACAATGTATGACTTGTACAAAGTTGTGTAACAAAACCTGTCATAACTATTGCTTTTAAAATAATTAACTTTTAACACTCTTGCTATGAAAACTAAATAATCGTTAAATATTACATCACTAAATAAACTAAATAATAATTCTTAAACTAAACAGTTTTGTAAAACCATCAGATATTTAATGGTACTTATAAGAAAATATGAGATATTTTCATCTCTTGTGAACTCTCATGACTATGATAAAATATAGTGACTTAGAGTTCAAAGAAGTTTTTTTTGAAAATTTTTTAGTTAGATGTTTGAAGATATATATATGTGGAACAAAAAAGTACAAAGCTATAGCCATTCATAATACACTAGTTCCAATCTTTCTATAATAAAATTCTTACAAGCCAGTAACAAATTTAAGCTAAAATAGAATTAGATCAGAAAATTAAGAAACTTTTAGCTATGTAACTATACGAACAACAGAAGTGTTCAAGAAGATGAGTTGCATTTAATTAGAAAACATTTGGTTTATCTAAAATCATAACTTAGCTTATAAATTATGACCCAAACTAAAATAAGTTAAATGTATATACTGAGAAGAAAATTCAGAGTAACAAACAACCACAAATACAGCGTTTCCTAATATAAATCAATAGACCAAAAAATAAAAACCTAGAATGATTGGAGTGCCCTAATTGAAACATCAGTTGTATAGTATTTAGAGAAGTAATATATATTTCTTTCTCTTTTAGCTTGGAAAGGTAAACATTCCTTGTTTACCACACACATTCACCATGACATGTGGATATACTAGTTATGGAATACTGCACATTGTCAAGGGTCGTTTCTCCTTTTTTTTCTGTATTTTGTTGAATGCAGCAGATGTCACTTGAGAATCTCTTTGTTTTGTACTAAGTAATGATGTCAGTCATGTAGAGGTTTAGGAACACCTGGAGGCTGTGTTCCCTCTCTTTAACTTTGGGATGACCAAGTGACATAGGTGATAAATGCCCCCTGGGAGAGTTGACCCTATATGCTATAAATATAGTTATTTGTTCTTTTACTATAATTCAGACATTCTGCTGGTATATCACTTTCTCAGTACCTATAGAAAAGTGCTGTCTTTCATTTTATATACACACAAACCTGCTAAATTGTATTTGTTTAAGTGTATACAATACACTATTATATTTTTATCAAACTAGTCTCTTTCCTCAATTTAGTTATGTAGAACACTCAGACTTAACTTTGCAAAATGTGTTATGTTCATTCTATAGTTTGAGAAGGGTACTACTTTTACCTATAGGCAAATAGCTTACCTAAGAATAACATATTTGTGTAGCTCATTATTATCAATATTTGCAGACATAATACCAATATCTTACAAGGTACACGCAGCTTAGAGAATTTAGGTTAGTTTTGAATACATACTCTAAGACAACAATGCAAAATAATCTTCACAAGTAAGATGATTATTAAAAGCAGTTAATACATTATAATAAATAAAATTTAATAAAAATAACTATAAAGAAAAAAGAAAGAGGAGAAAGTGAGGTAAGACCTCTTTGGTAAAACGGATACCCATGTATATCATCAGTTATGATGTGGTGACATTTAAAGTGAATTATGTATAACTGATGTTCAGGTGACCCTGCGTGTTAATACATTCACTGACAGGCATGAATGTTGTTAGATATATATATAACTTTTCAGTTTAAGTTTAATGCAAGAGTTATGATTTAGATAGTTTATATAGTGTGCATGTTAAGTTTAGCTATTTCTAGAAGTGATAGTTTATTGCAAGTTTGTTTACATAACTGTTTACAAGTCATATGTTGTGTAGTTCACTAGTTATGAATTAGTGATTGTTATATTATTGCATCATGTTACTGGAACCTTCTGAGTTTTTCTTATTGTTTTAATTGAGTATTATTGCATCATAATGTCTATTAGTGTGTTTATTGCAAAGTTTGTTTACATAACTGTTTACAAATCATACATTGTGAAGTTCACTAGTTATGAATTGGTGATTATTATATTATTGCATCATGTTTCTAGAACTATCTGAGTTTTTCTCATTGTTTTAATTGGGTATAATTGCATCATAATATCTATTATTGTATGGAATGTTCCAGACCTCTGTCGGTGTTGAATATATACAAGACTGTTTATTTTAAGAGTTATTATTTTGTTTATTTGGTGATTTAATATATAATGATTATTTACTTTTCATAACAAGAGAAGTAAAAGTAATTATTTTAAAGGTGATTGTTATGACAAGTTTGGTTGCGTAACTCGATAAGAGTCGTACGTTGTGTATGTGGTCCAATTGTTGATGCCAAGTTACTCGAATCTTCAGTATTTTTCTCCTTGCCTTAAGTGATTATTGTTACATCATAGTGTCTCATACTTTTGCAAAAAGTTTGAAGCCTCAGTAGGAAAAGGTATATATATATATATAAGTGACCAAACGAGCACAAGTGAAGTGAAAGTAAAGTTCAATCAGAAAAAAGTTAGAAAATGTAAAGTTAGCTTGTGTGTGAGTGATTAGCCATAAAGGATGATATTTTAAAGTGAGTTTCACAGTTTAATAGCGATAAGCAGAATAATTTGTCTTGTCAAAGAGTGTTCTAAAGTAATTGAATCCACTTGTGTGGACTTTGATGAAAAGGAGACAATTATTTAAGGTTCAGGATACAATTGTGGTAACTCATGGGGTAATATAAGTGAATTATTCACTGATACTATTGTGATAAGAGTAGAGAAAAATAATTCATCTTGTCAATTGAATTCTAAAGTAATTGAATCAGCCTGTCTGAACTTTTGACAAGAAAAGATAATTATTTAGAGTTTTAGATACAACTGTAATATCCTAAAATGTAAAGAATTTTGAACATATATTTGACTTGTTTTGAATATATTATTTTAAAACAAGTGGATTGTATGCTGTCTGTTTCTTGTTCGAATTTATCACAAACAAGTCACAGACACCTACTGTAAAGAAATCCGAACCCATATACATAAAACTCTAACAATCAGGGTATAAATATGCATTGAAAATGTAGTTTGACAGAGGTAGATCTAGACTGCATGATTGTGAGTTTAGCTATAAAGAGTAAAGAGTATATAGTGGCAATTTTAAAGTGAAATTATCATACACTGTACTGTAATAACAGAGTAGAGAATAATAATGTAGTTGAATACAGATAGATCTAGACTGTGTGATTCTGAGTTTAGCCATAAAGAGTATATAGGGGTGATTTTTATAGTGAAATTACCACAGATTGTACTATAATAACAGAATAAAGAAGAATAATTTGTCTTGTAAAATTGTGTTCTAAAGTAACTGAACCAGCTTGTGTGGACTTTGACAAAAAAGAAACAATTACTTAGAGCTTTTGATACAACTGTGGTAACCAACAGTGTAACAATCATTTGTGTATATGTTTGACTTGTTTTAATATATTATTTTAAAACAAGTGGATTGTGTGCTGTTTGTTTATTGTTGAAATTTATCACCAACAAGTCACAGATACCTACTGTAAAGAATCCGGCCCATACATAAAACCTGACAAATAAGAATGATCAAAGTGTGACTTCAAATGTTTGTTTATAAATAAATTTGATTTATGGTCAATACTTTGAATTTTATTATGGTTACAGGGTGGGTATTTCAAGGAATTTCACTTTTTTTATTTCAAGCAATGAGGAAATTACAGTGAGGCAAATATGCCATAAAAGAAACACAGTTCAAGTTTTTTGATTTTTTGAAATAAAGTGTGATTGCTTTATGATAATTGATACCCTCACTCACTTGAGGATATATCTTATCCTACATCAATTACATATACATATTTCCATCATAGGCTTTAGCTGCAATGAATATTATTGTCCCACACTAGTACACATTTTTTGCACCTATATAATTCACAACTTGCATATGGTGCACAGCTTTCCTGATCCCTGCCTGGAGCATTTAAATAATGAATTCAATGAAGCATTTATTTTAAATTAAAGTTATAAATTAGATGGGAGCCATTTTATCTTATAAGTAAAACAGCCCCTAACCACATGAAGGGCATTTTTTAAATATCTAAGAGAGATCTGTTTTCAATCTTTGTTTTAAGTGGAAA